TGATTTTAATCTTCACATACAAACCCTAATTACTAGCATTTATATAAAGCGGTAAATTGCAGAAGGTAAAAATACTAGGCTATTACATCATTAGGGGAGGGAGTATACAAATTTACAAATGGGGATTTGCAAAAAAATTAAATCTAATTATCCATTACAACCATATTGGATATTGTACAAAATTGAAAAGAAAATAATGCAAGAATGTAAATGGAAAAAGAAATGATTTTTGTTTTATTTTCATGAAAGGGTTTTTAACCTAATTAAGAGATGATTAATTAAAAAATTAAACAAAATTAAGCTTAAACTAATTAAGAAAGAAATTAAGTTGAAAAATGTTTTTTAGGGTTTTTTGTGAAAAAGGTTTTAACTTAATAAAAATAAAATGAAAATTAATTAGTTAAAAGAAACCTAAGTTCTAAGTTAATTTTAATTAAGAAAATAAAATAATATAATAATTAAATCTAATCATCTAAATATTAATTATTAAAAAAAGAAGTTAAATTTGTTAAGAAAATATTTTTATTCTTTTTGTTTTATAAAGAAAAATAAAATGTATAAGCATTCTTTAAATATGCAGATAAATAAATAAAATATATTTGGATTTTTTTTATTAATAAAAATAATAATAATTATAATAATAGTAATAATAAAAGTAATAAAGAAAATATGAAATAAAAATAAAAATAAAATGAGAAAAATGAAATAATAAATAAAACAATGAGTCAGGGGTGCAAAAGTAGTCAGGGGTTAGAGGTCAGTAAAAATAAAAGCCAAAAAGGGGGGAAGCCCATGCGCTGCAAGCTGAAACAAAAAAAGGATGGAAATATTGAAAAATGAACAAAAGGGTATGACTGGGGCTCGAACCCAGGTCCCAAAGATTAACAGGCGCACGTTTTACCACTGGGGTGGCTATACATCTGTTGATATAAACAAAACAACAAATATATAACATAAATCAAGTCATGAATGAACTTCATCTTCAACCTCCAGCCAAAGAACCTGTAACTCATTCATTTCTCATCCATTCATAAAACTTCCAACATTAAACTTGTTAGAAACTTCCTCACGATTCTGAATATGTAAATAACTTAAGTTAATTCTCAAAGATGAGCATAGATTTCTAACAATACCAAATTTTGACCTAAATATTTTCAGAGGTTCAAACTCAAAATTCTCCCTACTCAAGCAACATAAACGAAATCTATGGACATGTATAGTTTCAGGGCAATGATGTCTACATTTTATCTTCATAAATGCAAGTCTAATAATGCCTAAATGAGAAGATAAAAGTTCAAGAAAAATACCTAAAAACTGGAAATTGTGAAATGAGTTTAAGCTTGATTTAAGGTGCTGTAATGATCAAGTTAGCTTCCTTGAGTCTCTAGGAAGCTAATGCAATGCTTAGCTTGAGTTGAGAGTGGCTGAAATGGTCTGGAGAAGTCAATGTGCAGTGCTCTATTTTTGGCTATGGAGGATGATGGAAATAGAGTTGCAGTCGTGTAATAGGGACAATGATGGTTTGTATTTGATGCAAGGAAGCTTTAGGAACTAAAAGGCCAAAGAACGCACGAGGGAAATGGAAGTTTGAAGTTCAAAGTTAGAAACTGTGCAACAATAGAGTTTTTGGGCAATTTCTAATTTGAGTGAGTTTGGGAGTGTTTCAGGGTGCTCAAGCTCGTGTTCTAGCTCATAAATAATGACTCTATTTATAAGCAACAAGTTTGGAGACTTGTCCTTGATCAGAATTCAAAATCACATGTTATGGCTCCTTTTCTTGTTTTTGAAGCAAGCTTGAAACACATTATCCCAATGCATAGTACAAGGTTGTATAGAGTGGTTAAAAACTTTAAACATGTTTATCTGACTTTGTATGTTGAGTGTGTGTTGAACAAACAAGTTAGAGGCTCAAGAAGAGTGGCCTTTGTGCATAAAGCCACTTTTTCAAAATGGCAATGTTGCCTTTCTTCCTAAAATGGTATTAAGCATGGGCAACACATTGAATGCTTGGATTAAAGCTTCTAGCAGCTGTGCAAAATATTAATTATGGAGTGAAAAACAAGTTTGAGGTCTGCAAAGCAAAGATTATGCAGCCTAGCATGGATTTGGTTCACGTGTTCTTCACAAAATGGCTTGTAATTCAAGTTTAAAAACCCTAACTTCTTGCCTTTGATTCTCCTTGCTCAAACACGATCTCAATGAGTTCTTAGACATTTTGGAAATCTTGTAACATCCTCTACAACCTATATGTTGGAAGTTTTTGAAGATTCATCTTGGAACTATGTGAAAAATTTCCATGAAGTTAGGTCAAAATCCTGCCTAAACTAGGGCAAAATTTCACTAAGTTTCCAAGTTTCATGAACATGCATTCTCAAAATTATAACTTGAAATCCATGCATTTCTAGAAGAAGTTGTGTTCTACAATGTTTTATATCTCACTTAGATCTACAAATTTCATGTTGGAAGTTTCCTTTGAATCATCTTGAATCATGGTGAAAAATTGGCTCAAAGTTGTGAAAAAATATGAAATTTTCAACACTTAGAAAAATTTCGTAGTTTAGAAATTTTGACTTTTCAAAATGAAATCTTGACTTTTTGATTTCTTGATGAATGAGTTTCATATTTTGATATGTTTTGATGAATTGTGATCTTTGACACTTGATTTTGACCAAAAAGTCAAAGTTTGACTTTTCAGTGTACAATTGACTTTTCATTAGTTGACTGAAATTCAACTGTCAATCAATTGAACTTGAGGAATGTTTTGAGCCGTGCCATTAGGTTAAAATGATTCATTTGAACCCTTGAGATCATAACTTAAACCAATCAACTATTTGCTAGGTCAAAAATCAGAAATTGCACATTCTCAGTCAAAACCCTAATTTTGACCATTTTGCCCTTTTGATGATTTGATCAAATTTCTTGAGGAATTGTGATCCAAACTTGATCAAATGACATATATGAGTTCATGATGTTTATATAGATCTAAAATTATGAAGTTTGACTGTAAATTGACCACAATTGACTTTTTCCCCAATACAACTGATTTTAGGCCAACTGATCAATTGATTGAGCAAAAATGTGATCTAAAACTTGAAACTTGACATGAACAATCTTGAGGGTCCAAAATGATCCATGAAAGTCATTTGGAGCATTAAAAGTCCATTTGTACTTGTGCAAACTCTAACCCTAATTTTCAGTCATTAGTGCTAGAGGATATGTCTTGAGCTAATTTTCAGTCAACTTGAAACTTTTTTTCACTTGTTGTTGCCTTAGTGCTCTGGAGTGAAATTTTATTTGTGAGGAGAATATTATTTTGTAAGTGGTCGTGCTGGTCGTTTATATTCTTAAGGGTATACCTTTAAGAGGTTGAGTTTTGGTCCTTGAGATCAACCATAAATCTCTGTTATTGGTTTATTAAGCTTAGTCAGAAAAAATCGTCTATAAGTTGAGATAAACCTAGATAACTCGCTGGTGCAATCTTTCTACCCGTACTCTCTTTAATTTTCTGCAATTTATTTTATTCACTTCACTTTCGTTACGCTTAAAAACATTACTAACGCGATCTTAATCAAGAAAGGAAAAATTAATCACATTTTTCAAAAACTACAATTCACCCCTCCCCCAACGCGCTCTTGTACTTGAGGTTACTTGTTCAACAAGTGGTATCAGAGCTTAACTCTTGTTAAGTACAAATTATCTCAGGAGGAAGAATGACTTAAAGTCATTCACTAAACAAACCTATATCCTTTAATGGAGAAAGAATATGAATTGTGGAAAGAGAAAATGAAATTCTTCATAGAAGGGATGGATCGTGATATTTAAAAAACTATGGAAGATGGACCATTTGTTCCTACACATAATTGATGGTGTTGTAATAAACAAAAGTATTTCTCTTTTTTTGCCTGTTGTAGTCCTTCCTTACAATAAACAAACATAGATAATCATATAAATCACTTTTTTATTCTTGTTCGCATAACGTTTTCTAAGACTAAAACTATCGTGTGCACTATATACAAATCAAAATTGATTAATTACTGGAATCAAATTTCATACCAATCATTAATTTCTAATCAATATTCATTAACTTCTAATCAATATTCGTAGATGTTATTTTTTATCATACTCCCAAGTAAAAAAACCTAAAAAATTAAATAACAGTGAATAGTTATATTAAACAAAAGATACATACACATAATTAGAAAATAAATACAATGAGTTTCTATGTTTTGTTTAATTTATAAAAAGAAGAGAAACCACATCAACAAAACAAACAACAACTTTGATGAAAAGATTTAAAAAAAGAGTTAAGAGACAACAACTTAAAGTATTGTGTTTGTTGCTTAACAATTTTCTTAATGTTTTATGTCTCTTGCACATAAAATTAACAATTCAACGGCAACAAAATCAACATTACACATACACTTATAGTAACATAGAAATAAAAATCTCGAAGAAGCTTATTATTTGTCATTATAATAAATTAGAAAAACATGTTGAGTTATTTTTTCAATCGATATACAAAAAATATTAGAAAATAAAGTCAACACAAAATAGAGAGTCACTTTGATGACTCTTAAAAAATAAATTATTTAATTAATTAAAAAACATTATATCTTATTCTTTTCTCTTTCATAAGTTTTCTTTGGATGTGTGCCTAAATACATTTTATTTAGGCTTGTGACCAAACAAGAGTTGCTCTCATTTATGATAGCTTGTCATATTCCATATGCCTTCCTAAAGCTGACGTGTTGTGTATTTCTCTAGGCATGAATTTTTTACTTTATTTTTAAACACCAAAATTAGTTGTTATTCCATTCATACTTTACTTTTACTAAAATTGTTACATCAGAATAAAGAGGAATGGAACGTGCAGTTCACAGCCTCCATTACTTGCTACCCAAATTCTCAATCTTATAACTACCATTCATATTTCTCATCTCCAATTCATCCAACTTCATACCTTTCCTATGCACAAAACTCAGTTACATATATAATATTGCATGTCGCAGATCTCAAGATCACCGGCGATTACATCCCGGAGAAAAAAACCACCGCATCCATCACCGTCGGCTCGTTGTAGTAGTAGGACGAAGAATAAGCCAAAATTGGTCAAAATCCTGAAGCGCTGCTCATCGGCGCCTCTGCTAATTTCACGAGGAGATCATGAAGATGAAGATGATATTGTTGATGTCGTTGCTCAATATTCTTTCAGAAGCAGAGGAGGAACACTTTCAAATGCCTTTGTTTCTTCCCCTTCTCTCTTCCCTTCTTCTCCAACGATTTACGCAAACGAGGTTAGTTAGTTAATTACATTCAACTCTATGCATGTTAACTTAGTGCTCTATTTATTCAAGTTAGATCAAGATCAACATTGAGTTTCTTAATCTACAGAGTAATTGCTTCTTCTTTGCCTGGTTTTCATTTTTACGGTTATTTTAATGCTTATCACTATACCTATCGTGGTGTTTGCTTGCTTCCACGTGGCGTTTGCTTGCTTCCACACGGTGTTTGATAATTTTTTGTTGTTTGAAGGGATGCAAAGTAGAGATTGCGTAAAACAACGAATCAAGTTTGGTATAACTTAACTCACTTAATTTCATAATGAAAACAAATGTCTGATCTATTTATAAATTTTTTTTTTTTTAAATTTATTGAATGAATAAATATCTAAATATAATATAGATTAAATACATTAATTATTAAATTAATTTAAAAATAAAAACAATTTTTTTTATAAATATAACAGAATTTTTTTCTTAAAATTAAATTCGAGAGAGTAATAAAAAATGTTGGCGTTGAAATACATGTTACTTTTCTTCTAGGATTAAACTTATCTAAATTTTAATATATTCTTAATACTTTCAACTACTATAAAAATGTCAACTATAAAATATATGTAATTGAATTGAAGGTGAGTTCTATTGTGGATTATTTTTATAAATAGTTTCATGTGGGCCGGTAGTTAAAATTTATGAGAAAATATTTTTTAAATATTGGTATTTGGTGGATCACTTATTTTATAGTGGTTATTTACTACTTCATCCGTTTTAAGAAAACTATTATTTTAATAAATAAATTTTATTTTAAAATAATTGTCATTTTCACATTTTAATATGATAATTTATTATTTTTCAATTTTATTATTTTTCAATTATACTCTTTATTTTTTACTCTTTACACTACTTCTAATATATTAATAAAATTAATTTTATAAAAATATAATATATTATGATAATATTATTATATTTTTTAATTTATATATAAAATCTTAATCGTTTTGAGAATCTCGTAATAGAACTTTTCTTAACTGCGTCAAATTTTTTATTTAAATAAACAATATATTTACAATTTATAGAACAAGGTAACACAAATGCTTATTGTATTAAATATTTATTTATAAGTTTTCATAAATAAAATAAAAATAAAATATTGTGTGCATTATATAACTTATTTTCGTAATTATTTTATTTATAAAAGTATTTTGAATTTTTTTTTGTGAAATATGTCATAAATTGTTTTTATAAAAAATCTCCTAAAAATATTACCACAAGGCTTATCCTAATAGATAATTTAAATAGATCAATTAAAATAAAATGTTAATATTGTCAGTATTTTGTTTTATGTTTTTTCATATTTTTTCTTTCATTTTTAAAATACGACATGACTGAGTCAGATTAAGCAAATTAACGCTTTCTATTAATTCAACTCTTCATTATAACATTTTTTTTGAATTTTTTAATTCTTTTTTATAAGACTTTCTTTTATTTTCAGAGTGTATTAATTATTCTCTTTCAAATATATCGTTAATCATATTACATATTTTTTTTTATCATTTATAATAAATACAGTTAAATATATATTAACTATTTCTTTCTCCTAAAGATAAATTTATAAAATTATATAAAATAATCAAAAAAAATTATTACCTAAACAAACTTTATTAATTCTATAATTTATTTAACGGGATTTAATATTTAGGGACAGAGCTAGCAGCTTTCATGGAGCAGTAGGCTGTGTGCAAATTTATAACTAACTTTGTTTTCAATTGCTTTCAGAGTAGACAATGCAACCAATTAATTTTATTATCTACTTGTATCCAAAGACCGTTATTAAAAAATTATTATTTTTTTTTTTGTTCTGCAATAAATGATTCGGTCCACTATTTCATATATATATATATATATATATATATATATATATATATATATATATATATATATATATATATATATATATATATATATATATATATATATATATATATATATATATATATATATATATATATATAAAATAAAAGAAAAAAATAATATCTTATTATAAATACTTAATTAAATTGAAAATGATAAAAGTTTAATTAATTAAAAAAATATGTTAAAAATTGAAATAAATCATTTATTTTAAAATATTATTTTATTTTAAATGAATTATTCACTATGAGACGGAAGAAATATTATTTTTTAGATTTAGTGATGTGAATTAATTTTTTAAACCTTTTGTACCATCCAGATTAATTAACATAGAAATTGAGATTAAATATTAGGTAATGATGTAGAAGGCATGTGTTGTAAGTAATTAGTAATTACCACTAGTAAACTTGATAGTGACTCAACCACAAATAGCAATAAATTAACAAATCATGTTATAGTATTGTGTTCCTCATGGTGATTTACTTGTCCATTCGATTAATCAGATGAAAGGATACGACAAGGAAGCTAAGGTTGTGGTTAATGTCACAGTTGAAGGAAGTACAGGACCAGTAAGAACCATGGTTAAACTGGGATCTACCGTAGAACACACAATAAAGCATGTAGTGGATAAATATAGAGAAGAAGGAAGAAGCCCCAAGATTGATTCCAATGTGCCATCTTCATTTCAATTGCATCTTTCCTATTTCAGTCTCCAAGGTAATAATAATCTCAATAAATTTACTTATGTTATATATGTATTCGATTTATGTTTATTAATTTCCTTCATAGGTTTGGACAAATCAGAAGTAATTGGAGATGTAAATAGTAGAAACTTTTATATGCGGAAGAGTAATGGTGAATCTACAAGCGATCAGGATTTAACAAAACATCGTTCTGCGAATCCTTCAATGTTACTTCCATCTTTTGTTGCTTTGAAAATTAACCAAATTATAAGAAGAGCTCACAGGTTTTGGAAGATTCTGGTATGCTCGCCATGACAAGAACAACAGTGCATTGCGATACCCGTGACATGGAAAAGCAACCAATTTTTATGTGTTGCCTTTCAATTTATTTCCATATTTTATATTTGATATTCTACATGTATATATACTTTCAAAGAGTTAATTTTATACCGTCATAAACAAACATTTTTTTTCTGTCATTAAAGAAAATTTAAAATAAAAAGGTGACTTAATTGTGTTATGGATTGAGTCTGTATTTTATTTAAATATTATATAAGGTCCAATTCAACTAGGCTGCAAGAAAATACTAATCGGAGAGAATCTGTCCTTGATCATGTCGGGCAGTGATTCCGCTCCTCTCATCGATCAGGATATGTTCACCGGGCAAAATTATAAAGACCAGACAAAAAATTAAAGACTGCAAATTCACATTGTATATAATATATAAATAGTTATCAATCAAAATAAAAGAGACTCCTCATTTTTTCAACAAAAATATAGTTTAAAATAAAAGAGATAAACAGAACCTTACAATAGCGGGTTAAATAAAATCACGAGGCAAGTGTCCTTTTCGAGACTTCTTTGCGGTAAATGTTCGAATAATATCAATATCATCAAATGACTTGAATATCTCCCGCTCGGTGTAACATACCATCAAGTCATTAAACCACGCACCATTGATCTTATTGCGCAATTTAGACTTGATAATCTTCATTGCTGAAAAAGCTCTTTCAACGGATGCTGTCGACACCGACAATATCAAAGCTAACTCAATAAGTTTATAAACCAATAGAAATACCAAATGTTTCTCAGTTTGAACCATCTTCATAGCCAAACTTTGAACATGTTCACAAGTAAAAAATGAAGCATTTCTTCTCACTTGAAGAACATAAGTGTCAAGTTGATCCCTTATTGTTCCTTGGTCATCATCAGAAAAGTATGTATGATAAATATCAACAAGACGGACAAGTTTATCAACATTAAACTTGGAGAAAGAGTTCTTGGGATCAAGACACGAGAAGTAATTGAGGATAATGTTACTTCCTCAACTAAAGCAATGATCCATCTCCATATATATTTTGTCAATAGCAACATAAAAAATCTCTTCACATAATGATAAAGATTAGTGATAGTCCTCACTTATACCCTTGAACGACCCCGAACCAATATTTTGTCATCCATATTTGGAACCGGAATACCTTTAGCAACACAAAAATCTTGGACATCGGTAAATAAATTATCCCAACCACTCTCTCTCATTGTGGCCAACTAAGCTTTGACATCATCAACTATTCCATGGCAATCACAATATTAAGATCTTTTCTTTGCAAGACATTTGAAAGCTCGTTTGTGATACCAAACAACTTTAATATTAACTTTAAAATGAAAGCAAATTTAAAGCTCTCCATTTTTTCTATCAAACTCGCTGCTTGAGATGATCCACGTCCATCTTCATCAACCATACTAAGAACCTTTAACACGAAGGACCACATATGATCCAAACAAAACAATGTAGTATGATGTGAACCCCATCTAGTATCCCCGGGTCTAGTGAGACTAGAAGATTGGTGCAAGCCTTTTCCTCTAGATATCTCACCACTCTCAAGTTTATTTAAAATATCTTAGTGTTGTGCCTCCTTCAAAGCATCCTGCCTCTTACAAGATGCACTTGTTGTGGTCATAATCAAGGAGATACACTCAAAGAAATCATGAATAGATGAACAAATACTAACAACAGACACAACAACTAATTGCAAACAGTGAGCATAACAATGAAAATAGAAAGCATAAGGGTTTTCATCTAGAATTTTTCTTTGCAAACCATTAAATTCACCTCTCATATTTGAAGCTCATCATATCCTTTCCCCCGTATCCTTGAAATCGATAACGTGTACTTATCAAGAATATTATAAAGAGCATCCATTAATGACTCTGATGTAGTATCTTTAACATGATGTAGAGCAATAAAGTTTTCCACAACATTCCCTTTGTCATTCAAAAACCTAAAATAAATTCAATAATTTTACTTGGCGATATAAAAAATAATAGGTAATGAAAATTGGAAAATACAACTACTAACCTCAACATCACTTTCATTTGCTCTTTGACGGATATATCACGTGACTCGTCAATAAGCACGAAGAATTTTCTATCACCAAGCTCTTCCAGAATCACCTTTGTAACTTCATGTGCACAACACGTTGCAAGCTCCTTTTGAATGTTACCAGAAGTCATTGTGAAATTTTTTCCACCATAGTCAAAAGCATCCCTCACTTGTTCATTTTGAAATTTTACTCAATCTACCATCTCTCTAAAATTACCCTTATTTAGAGAAGTAGAGGATTCATCATGGCCACGGAAAACCATGCCTTGTGCTATGAGATATCTTGAACAATCTACATAACAAGTCAAACAAATCTTATACAATTCTTTTGATTCCTTGGTTGCTTTAGCAAACTTACTTGTCACACTTTGTCTTTGATTATTATAATCATCGTAGTGCTTGACACATGAGTTGTGAAAACTATTATGGTTACCAACATGACCTTTCAAGTCTTTAGATATATGCTTCTAATCTCTATATCCGCTTTTAGTGAAGACTTCAAAATTAAAGTGTTCGGCCCTCCCAAATTACTTAAAGAGAAAGCAATAAAAATAATAAGATGCATCCTTTATCTCACTATATTCTAACCATGTATAATTCTTATACCATGATTTACTAAATGATCTTTTAACACTACCAAATGGAGTACGAGGAAAGCTTGGCAAATCTGGTTGCATTGGACTCTTCAATATTTACGCCCTCCTCACTTGGTCTTGAATATCCGGAGCATACTCATTAGTTTGTTTCCTACGACCTGGATCACGCACAATCTCATTTGGATTAAACTCAACAATCACATTAGACAATGGTTCTAATTCGACTTCCGGTTGTACAACATTCATATTCTCAATATTTTCTCTAGCAACCAAAAATCTCCTCATCTCTGAACAAAAGATAAAATAGTTACAAAATTATAGTTTCAAAATTTAAAAGAATAATAATCAAATAAAACAAATATGAATAAACAATGCTCTTCAAACAAATAAAACAAAATTTAAAACTCTAATAAATAAATTAGTATTTATAATTATACATGGTTAATCAAATAACCTAAACTCTAATTAATAAATAAATTAGTACATGGTTAATCAAATAACCTATATTTTAATCAATAAATTAGAATCAAATATGGAATTAAACAAGTATAATATATAAACTTATTTCTACAAGTTTCATTTGAAAAATAGTAAGTAGCATAATCACTAATTGATTTGTAATTGTAAATATGTCAATTCAATTTTGTACTAGTTTGGTGACTTAAATTAAACTTTTTGCATTAAGCATTTGTCAACTTTCCAGTGAAATAAAAGTACAAAAAGAGAAAAATTATATACGTGTCTATCTAATTCTTTACCAGCATATTAGTAACCTCTAAATCCTTATTTCTTGTTGTGACAAACATATCAAATAGATTAACAGACCAAGTTAAACACATGTAGTATATTTGTATTATATAAAAAGAGAAACACACACATTTTTTATTTAATAATCAAGTTAAAGTTTTACATTACCTTCTCTAAAAATGGTATGAAACTGTAAGGGAAGTTGACGACAACAGATTGAACATATAAGGAAAGAGAACGGCGACGATTGCTATTCAATAATCCTTTCCCTCTTCAGATTTTTTTCAATTCTAGGTTCCACTATTTATCTTTCTTTTAATTTTATTTATTTTAAAATAAACATAAATACTATAAAAAAAATTGGGCCAGGCCGAGCCTAGGCATTTGCCCAAGCTGGCCGTATGGTAGATGTAACGCCCTAGTATTTAATTATTTATTTTTGAATATTTTTTTATTAATTAAAATTTTTATCGTCGAAGTCAGAATTATTTCTTTAAGTCAGAATAATAATTGATCGGATTTAATTTGATGGAATTAAGTTAAAGTGTTATTTTATTATTAAGCTTAAATATGATATTGGGCTTAATTGGTGGTGTTGTGTAGTAATAGAGGGGTATGTCATTTAGGCCCATTTGAATTTTTTAAGATTAAATAAAAACATAACTATTCTATTAGAATAGAAGTAGAGGAAATAGGAGAGAGTATTGTATCAGGAAGAAGAAAAAAGAGGAAAATAGGGTTTGTGAGGAGAGAAGAAGAAGAAGAGGAAAAATTGCTTCTAGTGCCAAAATTCCCCAAATATTCGGTTGAAGTCTCTTAAAGCTGCTCCTAATCCAAGGTAAGGGTGAAGTTCTGACTCTATAATAGGGTGTATAATTAATAGTATGTGAATTTGGGTTATGAAAATTTATTTCTAGTGTGTTTGAAATTGGTATATTGATGAAATTGAGAGATGATTTAGGACCCAATATATTTAGAGATGCACATATTTAAGTACCTTAGGATTTCCTATGCAAAATTCCAAACAATTACTACTGTAGCGTAAAGATGAATTTATATTTGATGGCATATTATTTGCTCCTGTATCACATTTAGAGTGAGGCAGCATTGAGAGGCATATGTTTTGGTTACTTACTGTAGCAATATTTGTGGGAGTATGTAAGGGCACTTGTCTTGTATTCTGTAGCGCACTAGCGATGAAAAGAACAATATTTAGTGTCTAATGGCCTGCTATACAATGAATATATAAAGTATTATTTAATAGTATAAAACTTGCACTCTGTAGCACAAATTTATGAAGTAGCGCTTATGAATCGTTTGGCGTGCAGTAGCGCTTAAAGAAATGGCACTTGGAGTATCAATTTGCATTACTGTAGCAATAATTGTAAAGTAGCATATGGAAGTGGTTAGTTTGCAATACAAAAGCGTGAATTGAATAATATTTAAATGGCTTTGGCTTACTGTAGTGAGAATAATAATGAAGCAGTATATTGGTAACACTTGTCTTGTTTCTGTAGTGCTAATATGAAGTAATACTTAGAAATAAATAATGGATACACTGTAGCTACTACGTTCCGGTTTACCAATAC